TTAAGATTGTATTTTATATATTATTTGTTATACCATTATGTATCAGTTTTCCCGTTAACATTCCATCAATCATTCATTCAGTCAATCATTCATTCTTTCCTTCTTTCCTTCCTTCCTTCTTTCCTTCCTTCCTTCTTTCCTTCTTTCCTTCTTCTCCACCTCATAGTCCTTCTCATGCTTACTTAAATTGTTTTATTGCAGATAGTAAAGGAAGGATACGACGATCACACACAGTTCAACAGCAAAGACCCTCACTATGACCCGTAAGATGTCATGAATATTGAATGAATTGCATTAAAATGCTTTATTCTATCTATCAATCTATCCATCCTATTTCATCCATTCATCCCATCCATTTATTCTTTCATTTACTCATTCAGATATTTATTCGTTTGTTCAATATAATGTACAGTGTGTGCGACTATAAATGTGACTCATATTTCCTTGAGATATAAATAACAAAGAAACAACCACCATCTTGGTTGATCTAACAAGAGAAGCTAATAAGAAATCCTTTGTTATTGTCAACCAAGATGGTGGTTATGAAGTAAACCTGCACATGCTCTATTCTTCAAATTTCAGTAATGCAAAATGTTGTTGCAGAGCTTTCAATAAAAGGCAGCTACCAGCGGTTCATTGCTGGATACTTCACCTTAAACTGCAGGCTATTTTGACAAAAAATTAATTCATTGCCAAATAAAGTTACATACAAACACCCCTACTTTTTAGGACTAACCGCCTACTACGAATATTATTGAAAGCTATGGTTGTTGTCCTTTTTTGCAGTACATCAAAGAAGGATAGTCCCAAATGGCAAATGGTGGGTATCTCTTGAGGGTCTGAGTGTACTATTCATATCTTATTATCTTTTCTCTGCTTACAGCCTACTGTCTAAAGATTTTTTCTGGATATCTTAATCATCCAGATATTTTTTCTCTCTTCCCACCACTTGTATCTTTAAATTAATGCTTTAATCAGGAATTTTGATGTCAGGTTGATGTGAAATTTGTTCGCATGATGAAGAGGTTCATTCCTCTCTCTGAATTGAAAGAACTTCATCAGGTAAGACCTGTATCAAAGCAGCTCACCCCTTCCCCTCCCCCCCACTGTAAAATAGTCACCCCTCTGTCTGAATTCTTGAATCTGATTGGTTGAGGTGGATAATGTAATTTTTCACCCCCCCCCCCCCCCCCCTGTAGTTACCCATGTGCCCAAACTCTGGTTGAGGTAAGCTTGGCTTGATTGCATGATCAAAGTTTCACTTAAATTTTATCTTGAATTTTCTTTAGAAACACAAAATAAATGGAGGTCCATTGGCAAACATGGCTTTGTTCACAAGGGCTCGTCTGTCTGTCCAACCTTTGACACAGGGTATAACAAACAATTAAATAATCCATATTTTAAAGTGCAAATGAACCCTTCAACAATACTTTCAGTACTGATTCTACATGAAGTAAATAGTTAAATGGTAAAATATTTCTTGATTTGAGTGATACGTCTCTACGTTATGAAGGTTTATACTTCCAATATGCTAATGAGTGTGACACCTATTAGGCTTAATTAAATATACAAAATCAAACTGGTTCATAGATACAGTATTTAAGAAGTATCATTATTTTACTCATGGTTTACATGAAAGCTATTTAAAATTTTTATTTTCAAAATGGCCAGCATTTAGTATTACTAGTTACAACAAAAACACTCAAATGCCTTACCTGATGTCATCATCATTAACATATTGGAAGTATAAACCTTCATAACATAGAGACGCATCACTCAAATCAAGAAATATCTTACCAATCAACTATTTACTTAATGCAGAACGAATGTATTGTCAAAGGGTTCATTTGCACTTTAAGTCTCTATTACCATAGGCTAATGTCAAATTTTGTTTTGCACATGGTTATTTATTGCAAAAGGGCTATCCACAGGTGACGTGTGTAGTAACCCACATCTTGACCCATAGCAATGACAGTCATCAGTGTTCATGAATTTCTTTTTTTACCATTTTAGATGAATTTGACTATATTCTGAGCCTTGAAGATGAAATGCCAGAGTAGAAAATCCTTTTACTTTGACAAAAAGATGATTGAGGAAGGGCCAGTCATTTATTCTCTCATGGGATTCCTGTGTTGGAAAAAACGAGTGGCATGGGTCCAAGTAAGGGGCAAATATGTGAGTGATCGATATCTAATATTATCTTAATACTTATCCAACTAGTAAGGTACAGATTTAATTAATCAAATGACAAAAATCATGTCATAAAATCTGTTCAAATTATTTTTAATTATTTTTATAAATAAATATAGTTGCCATGGCAATGACCACGATCCTACAAGTTTCAATTTCGACCAATCATTTAACATAATATAACTTGTAACTGGGTTCTCTTCATAGTTGCTTTTATAAAGTTATGTACACTCAATTGCCTTTGATAATAAAGTAAAATGTTATTGTACCTTGGAGTAGGTCCAAAGAACAGAAAACAAATTGTTGCATTATGCAAACATTTTAAAACATTTTTGAGGTATGAATAGAGCTCAAACTACTCATTGTACCCTCTGTGGACCCTCCCCACCCCTTGGAAATTCCAATCCCCCTCCATGGGGGAAGTATTGATATTTTCTGGTACTACACAATATACCCTCCTCAGACCCTCCCCACCCCATGGATATTCCAATCCCCCTCCATGGGGGAAGTATTGATATTTTCTGGTATTACACAATATACCCTCCTCAGACCCTCCCCACCCCTTGGAAATTCCAATCCCCCTCCATAGGGGAAGTATTGATATTTTCTGATACTACACAATGTACCCTCCTCAGACCCTCCCCACCCCTTGGATATTCCAATCCCCCTCCATGGGGGAGGTATGGATACTCTCTATACTCATTTTTTTATGTATTACTTTTTTTGCTTTGTTTTTATCTATCCATCTTAAAAACATTTCTTATAACCGCTACATATATATTGATATACTGCCAGTATACATGTACGCCATTGCGCACTTAAGCTATTAGTCATCTACATGTAGGAAACAGCTAATAAATGCTCTTTCCCCCTCACTAATGTTGGTGCAAAAACATCACCATCATTTTCATTCTATTTATAAGTATCATCTTTTAACCTTTGCCGACATGTATATGCATTTTTTCTCCTTTATATCTGAATGAATTACCATTATCAAATAGTACTTTCTTTCCATGGTATCACATAGCATCCCTATTTTACCATTCACTACTATTCCTACTGTATTCACACTACACTACTGTCCCTATTATACTAGCCTGAGAATCAAGTCTGTTTCTTGTTTCGTCAGTTTCTACATCATTTGTCTTACTTTGCGCTTGAGTGATATTTCCCTCGCTTGTTGCTATGGCAACAGAGACATCACTTCCATCAGCGGCAGGTTGATGACTGGAATCAGGCATTAAATCGTTGTGAGCCTCATTATTATGTTCTTCATTATTTGGAATTGTTACAACATGTGCGTCAACATGCACATCTTCACCCTCATTATTACTGTCTATGTCAGTACCAAGCTCACTCAAACATAAGGAAGGAGAGGTACTGGGGTTACCAGGTGGACTGGACCCTAGTGGGTCTCTTGCCGAGGAGTCATGGGAATCAGCATTGTCTATTGCAGATGAATAATGATTCAGCTGATTTATGGAGATATTATTCGCTGAATCAGCAATATTTGACTGATCATTGTGTTGACACTCATGTAAATGACGGCTAGTTTCTGCCGTGGCTTCCACCCCTGGGTAAGGTGGAGGATCTTCTTCATCTGAGTCCTCTGAAAAACCGTTTGAAAGTCGCTTGTTAAATCTCTGCGATATTGATGAATTAATTGTCCTAGTTGACAAGGGTGATGGCACATGACGAAGCCCCCCAAAACGTGCATTTCCAAGAGTAGAGATGACAGATGTTGCTGGGCTCATTTGTGGAGACGGAGGATAAAGATCTGGGCATCGCATGACTGTAAATCAAAAATAACCACATTATGGATGCAGTCCCATAAATGAAAGGAAAGGTTGTTGAGGAATAGACCTGATTTGTCTCTGTGCAATGTTTTCCAGTGATCAGACCATTGACATTCCCTTGAGTATGATTCTTTGTTTGAGATGTATCTATATTCATGCGTCTTCTCATGCTGACAGCTAAGCAAAGAAACAACACTCTAGGGAATGACGTGGTCTGAAATGGGCAAAACATTACACCACAACAAATATATTTCAAATGGAATTTAGAAAATGAGAGAAAAACCCTTGAAACAGAGAAGACTACCAACAAGCAATTCTACTCACATAGGACACAGAGTTTGCACTTAGAATTTTTATAAAGGCGCTACATAAATACTTTTATGATTATTATTAATTGAAACCTGTGCTGGGTGCATTGGTGAGAGATGAGCAATCCAATAGCTACACCACTGGTGCTTCTTTGACGGCACTTACCTACGTCATATGAGGGTGGGGCACCTTGTCCAATAATGTCCGTTGCTGAAAAACTTTCAGACCTTCTTGGTCTTGCTGAGGACATGGTACTGCTGCGTCTACGCCTGCTCTGTTTGGTATGGTTGATTGCAATGATTGTTAAAGCGGCAAACAGTGCCGCACAGGCCACGCCTATTACTATCCCTGTGTAATGTACACTAAGGTCCAGTGTCTCTTTGTTGTCTGCTTTTACTGTCGATATCAAAATATTGACGGTCAACGATAAATCATCATTGATGATGATGATGGTAGAGGCAGTGACGATGATGGTGATGATAATGGTGATGGTGATGATAATGGTGATGATGGTGATCGTGATGATGGTGATGGTGATAGTGATGATGGTGATGATGATGGTGTTGATGGTGATGATAGTGGTGATGGTGATAGTGATGATGGTGAGGATGATGGTGTTGATGGTGATGATGATAGTGATGATGATGATAATGGTGGTGGTGATAGTGATGATGGTGATGATGATGGTGTTGATGGTGATGATGATAGTGATGATGATGATGATAATGGTGATTGTGATGATGATGAGTGAATTGATAAGAATGATGGTCCTAATCATGAGCAATGACAGTATTTTTTTTTCGTATGATGAAGCTGATGCAGATGACAATGATAGTATATGCAAAAATTATTATATTACCAATATCTTCAGATGTATAATATGCTTGGAATCCCTTGCCATTAGTGTTGCCATTGCTCTTGAATTCAATCCTCATTGTGTTGGACTTGGATACAAAGTTCATCTTGTCATTGTCTGGGGTCTTGCAGTATTTAATGATTCGAGTTGACCAGCTGTTCAAGCCATCAAAGACTTCAATATAATCACCACAACTGTACAAGTGTTTCTCCAAATCTATTTTGCTGTGAAGTTTGGTAAAAATATATTATTTCTTTGTTTACCATGGTATGCATAGTGGTACACCACTCGCCTCTCACTGCTGTGGTCTGGATTCAAGCCCAGCTCAGACTGGATCATATGTGAGTTGAGTTTGTTTGATGTGTTGTTCTCTCCCTTGCCACGAGGGTTTTCTCCAGGTTCTCTGATTTTCCGCCCTCCGTAAAGATCAACATATGAGTTGATTGTTGTGTGCTGTTTGTTGTGAATATAGAATGTGGTAGTGTGTGTGGAGTGAATCTCACAGAAGAGCCCCCTAAGGGGAGTGGTGGTTGTAAAATATAAGTTTCTTCATATGAAATATAACACATTAGTTAGCAATGGCAACACTAGTAACTATGCAAACTAAAAGAACCATAACTGACTTTATTAGGTCACAAAGGTAAGAAGGTGTAGCCTTATGTAAAGCCTTAAAGGCGAGTAAAAGTATTTTGATAATGGTAGTAACCAATGACAACCAAGACGTGGCCACTGTGACAATATGGGTAACCATCTTGTTACCATTGAAAAGTGGTAACCATAGTGATTTACCTGAATCTAATAGCAATCCTCTTTCCTTTGGGGAGACTCAGCTTCCAAATACAATCTACATTTGGTGGATACTCTCTAGGGTACCGTGGGRATGTAATTGTCCCTGTCAGCATTGACATCTCACCTCCGCATTCTACTTTTGATGTTACACTGCAGTCAAGCACTTGAAAAAATATCATAAAATATTAAAATGAATAGGTGAATGAGCGGGATAAGTTGTTGGAATAACTGAAATGTATTCCTAGTAAAGAAAGAAATAATACTCAAGGGAATGACATGGTCTGAAATAGGAAAACATTGTATCATAGCTGAAAAACATTCCTAGTAAAGAAAGAAATAATACCCTAGGGAATGACACATGGTCTGAAATGGGAAAACATTACACCATAGCTGAAAAGCATTCCTAGTAAAGAAAGAAATAATACCCTAGGGAATGACACATGGTCTGAAATGGGAAAACATTGCACCATAGCTGAA